TTTAACTGCTTTGTTTTAAACGCTGCTATTTCTCACAAACATTCACCTGCTCTCTCCTTCTCCATATCTGAGCTCTAGACTTTCTCCATTTCGAAACTATTCAAAACCGAGCAGCGGAGTTTTGTATTAATTGAATTTTGTGTATTGTAGAGTTGGGGAGACCAGCGAGGAGGGCATTGGCACGGTCCAGCCGGGAAGTGACGAAGGCGTCGATGAGTGGTTTGGCTGCTGAGGATGTGAGGTATGGATGGAGATGAGCAATGTGGCGGAGTTGGAATAAAGTGGTCCTGGTCAGGGAGTGGATATGGGGTAGAAAAGTAAGCTGTCGGTGACTAGTTTTGCTCATTCTTCTGATGATCATTGTGCATTTCATTTGCTTCCTTCACGTTCTCTGATATAAATACTCTTTGATTCTGAATAATGTCTGAAACATCCAATATTTCTCCGGAATATCTTGAAGATATTATGAGGCGCTATATCAGATGCAGGGATTATAATTTTATTGTACAATGGGATTGTTATTATTTTTGAAAAGCAGTTTGGATTTTGGAAGCGGGTTTACTGTCCAGAGAAATATACAGACAAAACTCCGGTAAAGATATTCTGTATTTCTGTTTAATTATTTTTTTCCTTTTGCAGTTACATGTTTGAACCCCTGTGCAGGGAGGTGTGTGTGGTTTATACTTTATATCCGGTAACGCTGCTAAGCTAAACACCATGGCCATGGGCATGGGACATACTTCTGATGTGAAAGGCGCTCTGCAAATGTAATCTTGTTGTTGTTGTTGATGACAGTGGTTCAGCTGCACATCAGCCTTTGCCATTGGACACCATGACCAATATTAACCCTTTCATACAGCTTGACTTGCGCTGGTCTGAGTGGCTCAAGTAGAGGAGAAAGACTGAGAGTCCGGGACACAATTTGTGTGAGAGAGAAAATGAGAGAAAGAGAAAGGCAGAATTAGGCGTACAGACACAGTAACAGACAGAAGAGCATGTTTTGTCTGCTGTCGTGCAGCCTGTAAAGCGTGTTGAGATCCTCTGCTGATATGATGCGGGAAGTGTCAGGATATTTATACACAGCGATACCACAGGGATCCGTATTCACAGCTCAAACCGTTTTCCCTCATCTCTTGTTCCTCTTTCAGCTTCTCACAGTTCATTTATTTTTAACTTTTCTCATTTTGTTAATTGCCACCAAATAAAGTAGAAGCTGAGGTGAGGGGGTGTCTGGTGAGGCTCAGGGATCGGTCAAATTTAGGGTCAGGGTTCGGTCTTAGAGTCAGGTTTAGGTTGAGGGTTAGGGTGGGTTTTGGGAGAGTGTCCGCGTCAGGATGAGGTTTAAAGTCAGTGATAGTGATGAGGTGAGGATGGTTCTGTGGGATTGTAGTGGCTCCGGGTGAGGCTCAGGTTAATGGGAGACCAGAATCCAGGACACACTGCGTGATGTTGTGGGTGATAATCATAATAATCCTTGCATTTGATTCAGCGACTTATCACATCTTTGAGGCATCTCCAAGCGCTTTGCAAGATATACTGTAAAGCGAATTGACTGTATATTTTGTGAGCTGGTCTGTGTGACGGACTGCGTGTTGGGACCAGGTGGTTGTAGTTTGGCGAGAGCCACACGGGGTGTGTAATTTACAGAATCCTGGAATACTACAGCTCAGAAGGAGGCCGTTTGGTCCATCGTGCCTGTGCCAGCTCTTTGGAAGAGATGCCCAATCAGTCTTTTTCCCATTCATTCCCCATATCCTTGCAAATGTTTCCACTTCAATTATTTCAATCCATCCCATGTCTCCCCAAGTCTCCATTCAATTCCCTTTACAAGTACCTGTCTAATTCCCTTTGGCAAGTTGTTATTGAATATTTTTCACCACCCTTTCAGGCAATGTGCTCCATTCCTTAAAAGTTCCTGTTTAAAAAACAATACTCCTTGTCTGCTTTCCCCTCTGGTTCTCTTGCCAATTATCTTCATTTTTTGTCCTCTGGTTACCAACCCACCAAAGAGTGGAAACAGTTTCTTCCTTCTACTCTTTCAAAACCCCACATTATTTTGATATGGAATTTATTAAGTCCCCCATCAAACCTCTCTGCCCTAAGGAGAACAATCCCAGCTTAACTTGTGTCTCCGCATAACTGCAATCCAACATCCCTGGTATCATCTCTTGGAAATCTCCTCTGTAGCTTCTCCAAGGCCTTGATATTCTTCCTAGAGTTGGGGGTCACTGCTTTCATTTAACTAATAAAACCGCGAAGTTTGTCCCCTGTGGACGCTGGTGAGCTGCCGCTATTTGTGCAAGTCAGACACACCATCCGCACCGCCCATCAGAGATGACAGTGTTAACAACAACCAACAACTGCAGATCAGCAGTGGGCGGAGGGGATGATGTCAGGGGTCAAAACATAATGACTGTGCTGCTTTCCTGTGGTCAGTGTGGAGAGAGCGAGAGAGACTAAGAGTGTGTGTATCACAGGGAAGTGGATATTTGGGTACCAGAGAGCGAAGGTATCGCGGCAAAAGCTGCTCTTGAGATCTCCTCCGTGTGGTTTATCTCCAAATCTGCGGAGACCCCACCATTCCAGACACAAGCCTCCGGCCTTTGACCCTCACCAGCTCCTTCTCATCCTCAAGATGAAGCAATTATTTTTTTCCTCTTCGGTGAGTATTATTTGTAACCCAATTACAAACATGACCCTTGTGTCCTGTTCAACTGTCAACTGTCCTTCATCCCCCACATCTGTGGGATGAGAGAAGGGAGGAGAGGAGGGAGTGGAGAAGAGGAGAGGTGGGAGGAAAGGAGAGAGGGGAGGAGAGGGGTGGGTGTAAGAGAGACGCGAGTAGAGTGTGGAGAGTGGAGGAGAGAAGAGAGGCGAGGAGATCAGAGAGGGCAGAGGAAAGAGTGGCGGAGAGAAGAGAGTGGGAAGGAGAGCCGGGAGGAGAGGAGAGATATGAGGAGAGGCAACAGGACATGAAAGGTGGGATTGGCGTTGGAGGAGTGTGTGCCAGAGAGAAGAGGGGGCAGGAGAAGAGAGAGGGCAGAGGAGAGAAGGAGGAGTAGAGAGGAGAGTGGGGGTGTAGAGAGGAGAGCAGAGAGGGAAGGAGATGAGAGAAGGAGTGTTGAGAAGAGATGTGGAGAGATGAGAGGGCAGAGCAGAGAGGAGAGGAGAGGGGGGCAGAGAGGAGAGAGGCCCGGAGAGCAGAGAGGGTAGGATCGGGAGATGGATAGGAGAGGAGAGGGGGGTGGAGTAGAGAGTGGCGGAGAGCAGAGCGCGGAAAGAGAGGAAGGATGGTAGAAAAGGAGAGTATAGAGAGTAGAGAGGAGGCTGGAGAGAGGGGAGAGGAGATTAGAGCGGGGAGAAGAAAGGACAGGGGAGGGAGAGGAGGAGAGTGGAGTGAGTAGAGCAGAGTTGTTTGTGTTTCTGATCCTTCACCAAACCTCATATTCTTTGAGAAGCGAATCAGAAACACAAACACAAGCAATCCCTGCGCAGAAAATGTCTGTTTAGCCAATTGGTGTGTGAGTGGGGGTCTCTGAAAGAGTTTTGTGGTCAGTCCCAATCCTCCTGCTCTCCCCATCGTGTCTGTGCTGATGCTCAACCCCACCACCACACCCTCCCCCTTCCCCCACCACTCACCCCCAACACTGGAGCTCTCTACTCTATTCCCACTCCCTGTCCTCTCTCTCCCCTTCGTGTCTGTGCTGGTGCTCTCTCCCCCACTAGGGTCCTTTTTGGTAATGACAAAAATGGCTGCCCGTTAAGTACTGACCATTGTGGAGTCCTGTGGCTCAGTGGTTAGAGAACTCGCTTTGCAAGCGAGAGACCTGAGTTCAATTCCAGGCAGAGGGAGAAACCTTGGTCAAGTTTCCTTATTCCAAACAGAGCCTAATAATAATCCCTCCAAAAACCAAAAACAATGATAAATTGGTCATTTTCCATCTACGACTCTTTGTGGGACATTGCTGTGCGCAATTGGCTGCCGCGATCGCCCATAATTATACAATCAATTCACTTTACAGTGTGTTCTGTGAAGCGCTTTGGGACGTCCTCCCGACGTGAAAAGCGCTATATCAAATGAAAGGATTATTATTATTATTATTGATTGTGTGAGAGACCGTACAGATCAGATTATTGACTGTGTGAGATACTGTATCAGTAATTCCTGCTTTGATCGTGTTTTTTTTCCCTCGTGCAGTGATATTTCTGGAGAGAAAGACGGTGGAATGTGCAGGTCAGTGACGCAGTCCCACAGCCAGAAGCTGCTGTGGGAACATTAGCTGCTGAGGGTGAGACTCGGCCTCTCTTCAGCTCCATCGGGGGAACAGAAAGACAAACCATCACACAATCCACAGGCCACGTTTATAGTCTGGTTCCAACCACACTCTTGTCCCCCGCGCTCTCTGTTCCTCCACTGCTGACCAAGCATTTGGCCCCGACACCCCGAAACCCTGAAACACTCTTCCTCTATCACTCTGCGTCACCGTCTTTTTCCATCTGCAGAAGCAGAAGACGTTCCTGTTCGACAGTGCCTCAGATCACCACCTCAAACACACGGCTCGGATTCATGCTGCGCCTCTGTCTACGACTCTGGGACGCTATCCTGTGTTAGGGGCGCTGTGTACATTGCATGGTAATATGCTGTCTGACTGGAAGTCAAACGGGCAACAGATCCTAACACTGTGTGTGATGTTTCACAGGGAGCCCGAGTGTGCGGCTGGTGAATGGCGACAGCCCGTGT